ATATGTAATACATATAAAGAATTAAAAACCCCCAGACTTGCTGTCCACTAGTTACTGAAATGACTGCAATTGTAACTTTGGAAAGTCTAGTACACATTACATTACAGTAAGGGCTAGAAATATCATTAATTCGTTCGTGGCAAATATTTAAAGGCTATCATTCCTATTTCTAGAGGTATCCATACCTCGGGAAGTATTTGGAATTTTTTTTTCATACATTCAAATACCTTTATATGTTTACACATACAATTGAACCACACCATAGATCTGCCGTTATTTCAGTCACACATTTCATTATTCAGTGTTAATATTTAAGCTGTTGCAGCTTGGATTTATGTAGAAATGTATCATATAGATTACCCACTAAAAGCAGCTAGGGACTTTCTTTCATTTAATATAATCTGTAAATGATATAATTTACCAATTAGCAAATAACATACAATAAGCAAATAATATATATAGTATGTAAATAGTATAATTTACCAATTAGCAAATCGGGGCATATAAGGTCAGGAGGGTATCAGATGCTTGTTTTAAGAAGTTGCATAATAAAAAAATTTGTTTTATTTGATAAAACAGAGGCAATATACATGAAAAGAGTCATTAACATAAATGATTTGTTCAAACTGGGACTTTCCATAGTCATAAAAAAAAATCACTTTTCCAGATGTCATTGAAAGGTCTCACTAGGAAAGCATAATGTAATTACTGACCTGACCTATGTGGTATATAAAAAGATGAATTGTTCAGAAAGTGAACAATAGCAGCAATACGAAAGAAGATGGTTTGTATATTGATTTTAGTTATGTCAACGTTCACCATGCATCTAACTAACTATTTATGGAAGAGGTAACAGGTGAAATAATTCCTCTTACAGAATCAAAGAAGTATTGGTTAGAAAAGATTTTCTTTTGGAGGCCACATGCTCCAGATTCATGCTAGAAGCAAGGCTATCACCGAAGTTAGGACAGGCTCTGTCCAGGAAGGTCCTGAAAGCCTTCATGGATGGAGTGTCCACAACCCTGTTCCTGTACTGCACTGCCTTCTTGGGAAAAGCTGTTCCTAATGTCCAACCTGAGCCTCCCAAGGTGAAATTTGTGCCCCTTTCTATATTGTCTGCCAGTACTGAGAAGGCAAGAGTTTGGCTCCATTATCTTTGGAAATGCCCTTCAAATAGGTGTGGTTTGCTACAAGAACATCCCTTAGTCCCCCTTTTGTTAGACCAAATGAGCCCAGTTCCCTCAGCTTTTCCTCACAGGTCATGTGCTCTCAGCCCCTGACCACCTTAGTAGCTCTCTGCTAGGTCCTCTCTAGTTTCACAGTACCCCTCATGACCAGTTGAGGGGCAAGGGTATGCTAAAACTGAACACGCTATTTCATGTGTGAACTCATCAGTGCTAAGTACTGGCAGAATAATACATTCCTTTGATCTGCTGGCAACAGTTCTAGTGTAGGACATTTCACAGTTGCATGATCCATGATGAGAGTGCACTCTTAGCTTGCATTCAACCTGGCATCTACGGCAATCCTCAGCAGCTTTTCAGCAGTGATGCTGCTCAGCTAGTTGGTAACTAGCCTGTGCTGATGCACAGGGTTGTTCTGCTCCAGCTGCAGGATTTTGCACCTTTCCTTACTGAACTCCATGAGGTTTCTGTTTGTTTAATCCTCAAATTAATGTCCAGGAATGGATCATAGCATGGTTTATAGCATAGCTATATGTTGTCAATTATGTTGTCAATTTGTAATGATAGCGTACAGACAGTGTGACTCCTATGAGTCTTTCAGGAATTCTGAGTTAGATCCTCTGTATAATCCATTAAAAAGCATTGCACAGCTTTCATTTATATTTAAACTAGTATGGATGCTAAAAGGTAGGGGAATGAATGAGAATTTTGCTTCTGCTATTGTCATTGTTTTGACCAGAGCATTCCATCAAAAACATTGGTTGGTCAAAATACTGGTCAACCTGACATTTAACAATTTTGGTAGGACACGCATGAGCATCTTTAATGCAGTGATATTTTGTAATCTAAAAGTATTGGAAATAGAATGTTTCAGGGCCTGGGAGAGGAAAGGTTTGGGTTCAATAAGTACTTTGTGGCCTTGTCAGTTCAATTTGTACTGGGTTCTTTTGTGCCCTGACCAACAGTCAGAAAACAACTGTCAGCTTCTGTTGGCATGCATGTATCAAAGCTAAGCTTTTCTCAACCTTAATGGTTGCTGGCAGTGAGAATGCAAGAATTTCCATGCCCTATGGATGAGCAGTCACAGCCTTCCTTCCCGTGTGACTTATGGTCTGTTCCTTCATGCAGTTCTGGTGACCATCATGCTAAGCCCTGTGGGAATCAACACTGTTTTCCCTCCTGGCCATTATGTACACAGGACTGGGGTACCCGGGCTAGCATAGACTGCACTGCTTTCACTGCTCTGAAGATACTCAGCTGCAATGATCTGCCATACCTAACCCAAGCCTTGCTGTTGATTACCACCACATGACGGAGGCCCAGCTGTGGAGGAAAAAAACGGATGGTAGACAGGAAAAAACATACAGGATAGCAAAGGACTTCTTTATTTATCTAGGAAGGGAGAGAGTTTGCTTTTTTTCTGGCTTTACTTTTTTTGTGCTGGGCTGGCATAGACTGCACTGCTTTCACTGCTCTGAAGATACTCAGCTGCAATGATCTGCCATACCTAACCCAAGCCTTGCTGTTGATTACCACCACATGATGGAGGCCCAGCTGTGGAGGGAAAAAACGGATGGTAGACATGAAAAAACATACAGGATAGCAAAGGACTTCTTTATTTATCTAGGAAGGGAGAGAGTTTGCTTTTTTTCTGGCTTTACTTTTTTTGTGGTGGTGTTAGACCTTTTGCTCCCGTCAGATAATTTCAGGACACAAGAAAACAGCTGCACCTTAGCAAAGGATAGCTTCTCAGCTCTACTGCGTTCCATGATGCTGGTACCCTAAGATGCTGGTACCCTTTTTGCTCTATAAAAAATAATTCAATTATGGTCAATCTAGAAGCTAAAGCTGCTACAAAATTTAGTATCCCTGCCGAATAATGAATCTGTCCATGAGTTTGTGAAAATGTTTGCCTATGCTGTGAACTGGTCGCACAATACCAGAAGATGGGCCAAGAAAATTACCATTGGCCCAAATTTTAACTACATGAGAAACTGGGTTTTTAAAGCCAGTTCTGTGACAGTCTGGAGGAACACAGGATAAATCTTCTTGATAAAATAAATAGGCAGACTTAGAAATTATTAAATTAAAAATCCTACTGGCATGAGTTGCTGCATGTGAAGCTTAAGCATATATAAATTATTTTGCATTCCTAATACAGATGCTTCCATTTCTAATCCAGCTTTAAAAGTGAAATATTTTACTACAACTATTATCCAACAATGGTTTTATTTTAATATCAGTCACTAGGAAAATGTCTCTTCCCTTTATTCCTTACTTTCTGGATCGCTCTCTGATACTCAGTTTTCCTTATTTTCCATTTCACAAGGTGAGTTTACTTTAACTGAAACTGCCAAGCAGTAATTCAGTTCTTAACTAGATTTGTGGTGGTGAGACAGAGGGTGACATAAAAAGCCAAAACTTATTGGCACAATTCATCATATTACTTTATTGCACACTCGAGCCTACTGGGGAGAAAGTGTTATTGAACTGGAAGATGTATCAGGTCCTTCTGAATTTGGCAGGATGAGCACTTTAAACCTCTGGAAGGATTGACTTGCTCAACTCATTTTTTCAGCCCCTCAGAATGATTGCAAGAGTATAGGTGGTGTTACAGCTAATGCTCTGCTTGGGAGAACAGTCGGTGTTATGTTCACACTGTGATGATGATATGCTTTAAGGACTAATGTGTAGAAGGCAAATAATTATGGTGACAATTATACCTAACTGTTATTCTGGGGGAGTAGAGCATAACCATATCTACCTGTCTACTGCATGTTACACACTTATAACAAGTGCCAGCCACTGTTACAGAGGTCAAAGCACAGAATCTACATTTACTTTGAATCAATAAGTCAGTACTAGTAGCTAGTCATACAGAAACACAAATGGAGGTAAACATGAATTGCATGTCAAACTAATAAGTGAAAACAGTGGAGTTACTGAAGGGAAAAGAAAGATGTCTTAGTGGAATTTTACTGACAGACGATAGTAAAATTGGGTGTTATTGTTGCTTGTGAAATCAAATTGTCTTTCAGAAAAAAATGCCTTAGTGGCAGGAACATAAGGAAAAGATAAATATGACAAGCTCAGACAGAGAAATCCCTATTGTACCAGAGTATCACAAGAAATCTGGAAAGTTTCTCTATTACTGCAGCCCAGTTGTCAACTTCAATGTTACTTGGACTGGAGTCTTGAAAAGGAGAAGGGATTTCACAGTAGGAGTTGGCTGATACCTGGCAATTCTGTGGCCATGAACATACAGAGGCAGGAGTCAAGTTATATTCAAAGAGTATAAACCAAGAGAACACTCTGACTTAACAATAAGCAGCTGCCAAGGAAATTATACCTCTGAAAATACAGAATATACTTTTAGCAGTAAATTTCATTGTGTAAACAGATGCAAAGAGCTAATATTAAATTGAAGAACCAAGCTGGGATTGGTAAAGTGTTGAAACCAAATTTGATAGCAATTTTAAAATTATGAAGCTTATATATTCAATCAGTTTGTGCTAAGGACACCGCTGTATTTCTGGATTTTTTTTACACTTCGTAGGATATGCTTCCCACTTTATATTGGACCCACGGATAAACCTCACTCTTGATTTTTTTTTAGCTTACTGGCTGCTCATGCTGTCTATCAAAAACTTTAAAAGAATCTTCTGAAATGCCTCCCAAGAAGACCTTATCATGAAAATACCACACAGCATCTCTTCTCTTCAGCAGACTGTCAGATATCTGTTTATATTTTTTAAGTTCTCAACTTTCACAAGAAAATACAGTCACCAATATATGCACACAAAACTTGCATTTTCTGATAATGTGTATTTATTTGTATCCAGAATACAAATGTTGGAATCAAAATACGAATATAAATAGTATTCTAGACGCACAGTCCTACTCCTTAACACAAAATAAAGTGGAATGGATGTGACTGGTAGAGGAACATTGTTGTCTGAAAACTTGAGGAGGTGAAGCACAAGGATGTTTGGCTCTCCTGCCTGGGTCAGTTTGGGGGATCACTAGGATGGCTATCTAACTTATAATGACATACTGGTACTAGTGCTACCTGTATTATTCAAGGCACATTGGGCACATAATTGTACTTTCATTTCACTATGACATCACAAGCTGCACTGCTAGCAAAGAAATCACACACTCTTAAGAAAAACTTAGGAAGGAAGGATAATTAGAAATCTAAAATTTTATTTGTGTTCTGTAAGAAAGTTAAATTTAATACATAGTTGGCAAATTTTGTTCGATTCTAAAATTGCACTGACTTAAAATTAAAAAATATCCATAGGTTGTCATATCAGAAAAAAAAAAAATTGAGAAAAATATGTTGAGCTTTTAAGAACAGGACTGTACAAGGTGGTTGATGGTTGCCTGTGACAGCCATGGACTAGATTCAGTATTTCAACAATTTCCCTCCAGCCCAGTGCTTCTGCTTGTGATCACGTGTTGGCTCATTTTTTACGGCTGGTATTGCAGGTGAGCGTGGATGACAATAAAGTTACAGGACTCCTTAACAGCTACAAAAGTGAAAAGGGGTAACTGATACTGTAATTGCTCTGCACAAGATTTCCCACTGTTGCTCAGAGGAGCATTGCTTTGTGGAAGGTTATTCTGAAACCCTGTTTCCTTTGGAAGGCTCTGTCTTGCGTGTGTCGTACTCCCCTCACCTGCCTGTATATTGTCACATGCAACTATTTTATCAGCGTTGCATGAATTCACCAGCAACTTACGTTGTAAGGATCCCATGCATTCTGTATGCATGAAATGGAATCTATAGCATTCTCTTTTTCACTTTCTTTTGCTGTCAGTGGTTTTCAAATATGTCATCAATATCAGTCTCTTCATCCATCGTCTATTAAGACACAATTTAGAAACTTTGGCATTTACCATTTTTGGCCTCTAACATAAGTTTGGAATCTGCTCTCCCTAAGCTTTTAGGCCAGCTAATGCACAGAGTCAACCAGCTGGAATGTGATCCAAAGCTCTTGTTTGCTTTTAAGAATATTTAAACTTAAAACCCTCTTCTGGTCAATGGTTTTGATGGATGCAGGTGTTTTTGACTGAGATAGACCTAGAGGTCCTCTCCTTAAAACTTGTAATCGTGATACCGTCTCAAAAATAAGCTGTCACCAGCTTCCCTGTGAATCCTTCATCCTTTGCTTTTTATACTATATTATGCTAGTGCAGCTTCATTTCTCCCAGCCACTGCCACTGCCTCCCTGTTTCTATGCAGGTAGGGACATGAGTACTAGGTGCAATGAAGAAGCTGCTGGGACTGTACAAAGTTCTGCAGGTTGGCTTAGGCCTCCAAATAAACCTGAGTTACCTGAGTATTTTGATGACACGAAATGTGCTGTTGTGGCTCCTCTGGCTAATGCCACCCATTACCCATACAAAAGAGTACCTGGCAAATAGTTGACCTTATCAGTGCCTCGTTTGCCTGGCTTAGTGCTTGAGTAAGCCCATTCCCAGACATATGAATAAACATAACCACATTTCTTCTGCTCTGTTACTTCATCATTCAAAAATAGCAAATGACTAGAAAATCAAGATGCATGTTTAGATAACAGCTAGAGAATTCTCAGGTGCCAGACTCTGAGGCACTGAACTTCATGATGAATTTTATTATCTAATTCCATATGTATTCTGTGAAAACCCTCGAGGACTCCAGATGCATACAAACACTGACCTGAGGACCCACAATGAAAAAGAAAAAATAAAGTTTGTAGATTGTAGAGGGAATACGTAATCTTGGATATATCTCTTGAGGAATGTCAGTGGACACTAACCAAGCGCTAAAAGATGGTCACATTCCAAAATCATTTAAAGAAATAGCTACCAAGAAGAGGAAAATTAGAATGTCGTTTATACCTAACTCAGGCTCAATGTTAAACAGGGTTACAGGCTAGCATATCTTTTTTCCACTAATCCACCACAGGTATAATGTACAAAAAGTTCACTGTTCAACTAGTCAGAGCAATGCAGTTCAAAGTGAAAATGGTAATTTTGCTGTTAAAACATCATTTAGTTTTAGATGCTAAGAGTAAAATGTCAAAGTGATGAGGAAGGTAGGCTTTCTGTTTGTTTGTTTTTTGTTTGCTTTCCAGACAAACTATGAATCCTAGGGGAAGAGACAAAAGTATTAAAGCCACTGAGTCATGAAGAACGGTCTTCATTTTTCTCAAATATGTACTAGAACCCTTCAAAAAGAGAATGCTGTGAACCTTAAGAATCTGTATGCATATGGATATACTACAAGACTAATGATTATTATGCTCTTTTTAGCATGTAAGTGAAAGTTTCAAATCTCCCTTCTGAATAGGCTAGCAACAGAACATAGCATGTGATAAAGCCTATTTGTGGATCAATGGTGCTATTCAACATTGTTTCCAGCAGCCCCTGTATAAAATAAATGACAGCTTCTCTCCTCAAATTGTTCTTTCCTAGTGTTCCTTTTTTGTAAATGCTATTAAGGGAACGGAGAAAAAAAGCTAGCAAAATGGTAATGTGTGTTACCACAGCTATGTATTAAGTCCCTAGCAAAGAAGTATCATAGGATGGTCCCTGTGCATGAATCAGTGTTCCAGTCTGCTGGCTCCTCCTCAAATACCTCCTAGAAACGTGCAGTAAAGATTTTGTAAAATGTTGATACTGAATGCCTTACAATACCCTCTGCTCTTTGTGCCTTCCTCTGAGAGATTAGATGTGAATGCTGTTAGCAGCACTCACTGCTAGTAGTGGAGCAAAATAAGAGGTAGATATGAAAAGAAAATAAAAGGGGATGAGCAAGTGTTGGCATCACTCATTTGTTTATACCCTTGACCTGGAATTTTGCTCAATGTTTTAGGATAAGCTGCTAATCCAGTACAGTCTATTATGTTGGTCACACTTCTGCTGAGAAGTGATGATTGAGTTAGAAACTAAATGTTTACTGTAGAGCTGGAGCACTGTTAGGACAGCCTGCCCTAACAAAGAATGATGAGAGTTTAACCAAGGTCTTGGAGCATGACTATTGTTTCCTAAACTACTTCAGCTCCATTATTACTTTCTCTTTTGATAGGATTAGATCTGGCAATAATTCATAATAACTTCACCCACTGACAGGAAAGAGGCAATGAAGTCTAAAAAGAGGTGGTTTATGGGAGAATTGTGCTGAGCTCTCCCACATCTACGTACAACATTCGTACAGCATTAGATGGAGAAAGTTTATGCGTAGGGAAGCTGATTCTCTCTGCACATCCTCTGTGGCCTCCACTACTGCCACACAAGGACATTTGAGGGGAAGCAAGCAGTTGCCTGCAACAATAGTTTGCAGCTGCTGGATCCAATAGCAAGGGAACTGAGCTGATTTTGTGCTTGGTAATCTTCTGGATTAGTAGAAAAGAAAGAAAGAAAGAAGAAGATATACCTACAATGAAAAAAGATAAAAGTTGTGAAGGAAAAAGAACCTCACTTTTAGTAGCGAAAATGTGTTCCCAATGGAACACAGCATCATTTGTTCTTCGCCTGTTTTAAACTGTCTTCTAGGAAGTCACCTGGATGAGATAAACATCAGCCTTGAGCTTATGCTCTGCACATCTTAGTGGAATGAAGCTGCTGCATGAAGAAGGAAGGATTCTGCTGAACTGACTCGATCCCACTGCAGTTTTTTTTGCTACTTAGAGATCAAGGAATCTATGAAGTGCTTAAAATAAGAAAGAAAGAAAGAAAAAGTAGCCAGTGCTCAATGTGTATGTTGAAGATAGCTAGAACAGTGGTCACACATTGTAGCGCTCAGGAAGAACTACAACAAGCTAATTGTCACTCTTTCTAACTTTCAGGCCGGGAATATATCCTTCAACATCAATGAATGTTAAATATAAGAAGCACAAGGATTTCACTGTAAGCAAGCAGAACGTACCTTGAAAAAATCCTTTAATGGTGTAGGCAGCTAAGATTATGGGCTATGGCTTGCCTTTTCCTAGTGCTTTCTGGAAAATCAGAAAGTGCAGCCAATGGGACAAGTTCAGGATGTTATGGAGAGTCTTTACAAGTTGTAGTGAGTGCATTGTTCTACAGCTTAGAGAGTAACACCAACCCTCTAGACTGTGAGGCTAATAAATTCTATCTTACAACATTTACAGTCTCTCTTCCCACAAAATCATTCCAATGTGGCAACCATGGTGTTTCCAGAGCTGTCTGGCACCTGGTCACTTGGCATGTGAACCGAGCAGGGTCATCCTTCTAGATATATGCTGAAATTTGGTGTAAAAAGTAGATAAGCATCCTTCTGTAGGTCATGAAGGGATTAAGGAAGGCGAGTTATGATAAATTCATGGGGCAACATGAGGTGCTAGGCTCTGAGACTCATTAGGGACGTAAAAGTGTTCAAGATAGGTTATCTGCATTACTTGGTAGGATGCCTCCAGTTCCAGAAATATCATTTCTTGTCAGCTAAAGGCTCATGTGTCGCTGCTGTTACAGCTGGTGAATGTGCAAAACACCAGGTGGATGATTTGGAGTTAGTTGTGTAGAAGTGCTGGGAAGAATTGAAGAAGAGTAGGACAGGTAAGAACTGTACAGCAAAGAAAAATAATCTCCTGCTTTTCTTTTAGCTTCACATTTCGTCACCTTTGTGAAGATAGTTCTGGATTTCCTTGCTGTAATTTCAGTCATTTTTATGGACCTAATATACAAGTGATGGTCGGTGAGGGAGGAAAGGAGCATTTGAAGGTGAAAAAGGCCTTAGGTATTTTAATCTACTAGCATACTTCTTGCTTAGAAAGTTACACCAAGATTGTGTGGAGTGCTTAGTCCCACATTACTGCTAGAAATGGAGACAAAATAAGCTGGCTGGTAGTTTTTATACACTAATTATTGGAATAAGGGCTGTTTTCTGGCATTTTTTCCTAAAGAAACTACTAAGAAGGAGCTCTCACTATGTCAAGGGCAGAAGAACTAAGACGACTTAGATTCTGAATTAAACAGAGCAATATTTTCATACATTCTTAGCTGCCTTGAAAATGCTGTCCTTAAGCAGGAAAATACTATTCCTCAGTTCTTAATTGAAGTGAATGCAACTGAACTGAAGTGAAGGGAATGAAAGCAGAGGTTTGATTTTACAACTATTCATCTTGCTGGGAAAAGTGGATTATTGTGCAAGGAATTAAGGTTAAAAAACTCACAATCTTTTCTGTAACTTTAATAAGGAAAGAATATAATGAGAAGGTACTTGATTTTGTGATTCTACAGACATACCTAAATGAGTTGGATATACTCACACATACTTCCATTCCCTTCCCTTTCCTAGAAAGGCAAAAAAAAGTACGAAATTACAAAAAAGAAGTAGCTGAGGAAATGCATCTTGAATATGAAATTATCTGACAATAAAGTGTTCTAAAACGCTAAAAGGTGATTCTGAAATTTCTGACGGGACTCTGCAGTCCCACAGAAGTGTTAATTTTTTTCAGTTCACAAAGGAATCAAAAGGATGTCTGAACACTAATGAGGATATTTTTTAATAATGCAGAATGTCTGGCGTACAGATCTGTGCAGACCTCTGTGCTTACCTTGCATACAAACCAATTTATTGTACTTAACCCCAAAGTAGAATATACTTCAAAGTAGAATATATCCTCTGTTGTCAGTGTAAGAGAGGAAACCAGAACTGGCTGCACATTCTGTTTTGGTCAGGAGCCTCAAAAGTGGAATATTATGCTTCCAATATGTGCTTATGAAAGCACTCAAAAAGTGGAGGCAATATAAACAGCCTTAGCAGAATCAGTCTTCCAAGGAAGGATCTGACAGTATTGTGTGCTTTTAGCTAAAGTGGGTAGCTGTGAGCAGAAGCGTAAGAATAGCATGTGCACATCATCTAAAAATCAAACATTCCCTTTCCACACTTACTCCCAGGATGTTTGCTGAAGTATGCCATTGCTAAAATAAACCTCACTTTACTTATCCAAGATCTAGTGGTGGAAGCCGCTTTCTTGTGTCTCATTTGTTTAAGTACTCCCACCAAAACTGATTGTGCAGAGGCTTTGCAGGATCAGTCCCCTAAAGGATATCTGGTTCCATTCTTTTATTTAGGCTTCATATTTTACTAGTATTCTTGCAACGTATGGCTGAAAGTGGCTGTTAAATCTGACTAATTCATAATTTCAGCCTGGGATATTCAGCTTCAATTCAAACTCCTTCTTGCCCTGCTGAAAAGATAATTCCGATCCCTAAATATAATTCATACTTACAGGAGCTGGACACAGAGTTTTACAGAGTAATTGGTTTACAGAGTAATTTGCTACTAAGAGTTAGCAAAAGCTTCAACATGTATTTTGAAATCAATGGGTCATTATTAGTTTAGAATCCAGATTGGACAGCTTTTGCTCAAGATGAGATTTTGCTCCTACCCCAAAATATCTGATTTCTTCTCTGTGCTTCTACTTTGAATTTTGTCAGTTCTTGGATAAATGGTTCCCCTCCCCACTGTAAACCTAGCTTTCTGGCTCTGGTACTTCAGACAATTGAAAAGCAGATGAAAATATTTTGAAAAACTATATTTACCTTTTGTGTTAGCTTTTTTTTTTCAGTTAAAAATACTGTGGAAGCACAGAGAAACAGCAATGACAGACTGTTTCAAAGAACATGACTACATTACTATTCCTTTAAAATCACCTTTGCACTAGTCTTTGCATGTTTGCAGGATTTGCTTTCTGACAATAAAAATAATTGCTCCTCAATCATATCTACTATTCATTTTTTTCAAATATTGTGTGGAAGAGACACATATTTTCATTTAGATAAGGAAAAATTGATCCGGTCTTCCAGACAAGAAAAAATCAGAATTTACCTTTTAGATGTGCTTTACTTTTATCATTTGTAACTATTTGTCATCCAAAGAGCACTGAAGAGCCATTGCTCTTTAGTTTTGAGTCTGATTTGTTTGCTTAATAAAAATTATTGAGGGAGTCTGTAAAAAAAGTAAACTAATTCAACACTGTAAAACTAAGTTTTGTAAAATGGGTAGTTTAAGAAGTTAATGGTAAAGCTTTTGAAAAAAACAGCATGGCTTTCTAGATTAAAATGTAGTTGCTAGTCTGTGAAAAAAATCAAAACAAAGCAACCTTTTTCTATATGGGGGAACTAGTCCATGCTTAATCCAAGGCAGACAATTGAGCTCCCATAATGCACTATTCAAGTCAAAAGTGTCCAATCTTCAGCTCAGACCCAAGAACTGTCTGCCATGAATGAGGACTGCAATTTTTAACTTCATGGAAGGAATAAAAATGTACTTTGGCATACACTTTTTTCCATTTTATAAAATAACTTAGAGAGAAAAAATAAGAATGAATGAGTGCACTTTGTAGTAAATTGGAATCTGAAGAAACTCACAACTTGTAGTGCTATTGTGTAGTGAATCTTACTCCTGGTCTATCAACTATGGTCTGCTACAACGACATAAACAAGCAGGAATCATGTCCTGCTTCAAGTAGAGTACTTTAGAAATCAACGACTTTCCTGTGTTTAACCAGTCATAAAAAAGACAGTAAAGTTTTGAAAAGCTGTAGAAGTTATATCCACAACTACCTCCAAGATAGGCAAATCTTTCACTTTACATCAAAATATTAGCATTCTTCTAACTCAGCCTTTTCACCTCAAATTAAAATCAATCTGTGTAGGTAAATTGCTAATTCCATAAATCCCAGACCTTTACAGGAAGTAACTTTCACATCATCTTAGTCCCATTGGAGATATTTTTTTCTGTCTTTTGGTGGTTTCTCTATCGCAACGAAATCACCAAGAAAAAAATTCCCAGAACCTATGGGTCATAGCTCAAGCAAGTTTAAATACAAATGGGTGGCTTAGTGGGCTTTGCCAATGCCTGTGGATGTTGTTTTGAGTCTCAGGGATATGTCAGCATTTTGAAGAAAATATGGGAATGAAGAACAAAAATTACATATTTAACCTTTGCCTGAATTGTGTATAGCTTCTATGCCAAGGGAGAGTAGTAAAGATTCTAATATACAATAATTTTTCATAAACATCGCTTATACTACAAATTCAGCTGAATTTAGTAAGAATCTTTTCCTTAAAATGAATAGCAGTAAGGAGAGAATTCATCCATGTTTTTCTTTTTCAGGCAATTACATACTAAAATTCTTCATCAGTTTCCCTGATGATGAAGGTTAACGTGGCCGCCATAATTTGAGATGAAACTGACCGTGTCCTTCACTTTTTCTGCACTTTCACCACCCCTAAGCAGCGTGAAAACAGTAGTCTTCACCACTACAGGCAAAATTTAAAGATAGAGGTATCCAACCCAGTAGACCAGGTTAAACAGAAGGAAGGATGTAGGAAAAAAGACCCTAGAGTAAGAGTCCAGTTCTAAGATGTCTATGTGAATCCGTCCTCTCCTCCATGAGCCTGATTTACATTCTTCATAACAACAGAAAAAGCTCTGGCAGTCTTTCCCATCCAGGCATTCATAGACACATGCCTCTTCAAATTCTTGCCAATACATGGCATTGTTCAATGTGATGACTGTAGCTGGTGGTCTCATATCAAGTACAGAATAATTCTGGGGAGAGAAAAAAATACCAACAAATTGATAAACTTTCATGGATGGTGCAGGTCACATTTAGTAATCATGGGAAAAATAATGGGAGGTGTGAGAGATGAGCTGGGAATAAGCAAATTTAAGAATTCCAGATTTAGGGGCCATATTTCTTCCCTCAAAGGATGTTTTTTTTCAGATGAACTTCCATAGAGAGATTGTGGAGTAGCAAGTAAAATTAATTCGAGGTGCATTTTCTCCTTGGATAACTCGAGGCATATATTTGCCAGTGATCGTTTTTCATTCTTAAGGGTTCACTTAACTGTCAGAATGTTATTTACAAGTTGCTTTAAACACTTGAAGCTACTACATTTAAGAATGGTGTCAGAATAATAATGAAGATAAGTCCCCAGAGCACCTATACACATCATTTAATTTAGAGAAGGACATCCACTTAGTACAGCTGCATTCATTGCCTCTTAACCCTACCACGATTTACAAAAACAGATATTGTCAGCTACAGATGACAGTGATTTCAGTACAGAATTTCAAAATGACATCCCTAGGCATGGTCCATTAGTACTTATTGCACTAATCACGCTCAAAAGCATGGCAGTTCGGTATCAAGTCTCCTCACAGTTCCACTCATGCTTATAGACCTCACCTACTTCAGTGAACTCCCTATTCACACTTTGTCAGCTCTTCTTTCACACCATTTTCTCTTCCTGAAAAGTGCTTTCCCACAACAGTCTCTCATTAAGCCACCTCCTCCATCCCCACAAATACTTCTTTCATTGGCATCACTAGGACATCTCCCATCAGCTTTGTTGCCTGTTTGCACCACACTGACAAATCAGACTCCAGCATTGTTGATGTGGTTTACTCCTCCACCCCCGTCATGGGCTTTTCCCCTCTTTGCAATTGCTCTGAACACGGACAATTGCCTATGTGAGCTCGCCTAGTAGCATACTAACAAGCAAGTCATGCATGGGGACATGGGGCCATCTGCATCACGTTTCCACATATTCTGGAGGGTGCTCTCTAGAAAAGTCTAGGACCCTGCTTTCAGGCTTGCTATACAGAATATGCAATGCTTTCTATTAAAGATGTGAGGGCATATATGAAAACTTTCGCTCTGTATGTGAAACAAATGAGTGATACGGTTAATGTGCCTCATGGGACGCTCACTTTCTTCTGCTGACTTCTTTTCTCTCTGCAAGTCCTTTGGTTTGGTGCACCACAATATTACCCACCTCATTAAAAATGCTTGGTCCCTGAGCTAAGAACTTGGGGTGGGATCCTTTTTCTCAGATGTTGTCATCTACAACATAGATAACTACATCTGAAAAGGTCCCTTAAGCTACCCAGTCAAGTAAGTCTACGGCTTAATTCATGTCATCATAACTAGATGTCTAAAATCTCTCAGGAGCATTGTGTTCTGGACGGTAAACGGATACCAGCTCAGGAGCAGATATCACAAATCTGCTAATTATGAATGACCTTATCTCAGAAATTAGATGTCACAAATTGTACCCTCATGGTCTTCTCTCTTGCTTGTACACAATCAAGTTTCAGAGTTTCCTTGTGCATAATAGGTAGCTGGTATCACTGGTTTACAATGTGCTGCTACATGGAAAACCCATTAGGTCTGAGATTATAGTACAACCATCTTTTTTTTTTTTTGACTATAGCACTCTGGAGAGAAAAAAGCTATCACTAATGCATGGAATTTCACTGCAACACTAAACCACGTATTTTCTGTTTCTTCTATGCCTTTCTGAAAAATCTCTACTCAAGGACTTAAATTTTCTATTTGGCCGAATTTTTTAATTTAAAGAGAAGAAAGGCTAAATTAGATCGCTCCAGATGATTTTGAATAAGCGAATTGGAATAAATGCCTTGGTTCTTTGAAGAAAATATGCTCACCTATCAATAAGCTTTTTTTTTTTTTTTTTGTTATAGCAAGCCTGTTCAGGACAGGAAAGAAGATTATGCCCTTATAATAGAGGTAGATTAATCTTTTTAGTTGATTTAATCCCTGTCAGATAAGAGTGGTGGACAGTGCCTGTTGTATCTAATGAGTCTTGCTGAGATCAGGCTAGGATGAGGATGGTGCAGCCACCTCAGTACCACCTGAAAGATCTGCCAAGGCAAGGCAGTTCTCATGTGCCTTGAGCAATGCGTTCCAGATCCAATGTTAACAAAAAATAAAATAAAATAAAATAATTTAAGGTATGGCATAGGTGTGTTCTCTAGGACAAAAAATAACAGAGTAGAAATACCAATGCATCAAATCCTGAACATGGATTTACCAAAATTTCACCTCCTAGGGTAGCATCACTACAAGGCTAGCACAGATAAGCAGGTGTCCAGAGAGTCAGAGATGCTGCTGATTTTATGCAGCTCCTGCCATAATTTGAATATGGAGATTGCCGATGCACAGACCAAGTCTCTGCACAGTATCTATCTTAATGCTAGGAAAAAAGTGGGAGAAAAATTGCAGAGGCTGCAGATGCTTTCCAGGTAGATCAGATTGACTGGATCTAGACAAAGAGTAGCAGAGTTAAGCCCTGGTGTCCTTTTAATTATATTAGTTTGTTCTTATTTTTATTAAAAAGAGGAAACCACTACCCCATCAATGTGCCTTATTAACCTTTCGAAAAAGTCTGTCCAAGAAAAGACAGCAGTACAAAGTGTATAAATGCAATGCTTGCTGTAAACCATTTGTTGCCAAGTAGACTTTCAGTGCTATTTGAGCTCTTTAAATACATTAGAAAACCCATTAAAAAAGGAAGTGTACAACACTATTTTTAAAAGGTAAGCTAGTAATATCAAGTTAGCAGTTATAAATGCTAAACTTGGGCATACTAAGAAATGCAATGTGGCTCTATCCATGCTCTAATTTGCAGTCCATCAGCTGTGAAGCAGATCATGCAACCACCTGATTAACTGGTCCTCTGCATTCTTTATTTGTATTCTAGCTCTAGGTTTCACACAGTTTAAAGACACAGCTGTGTACCCAGTCAATCAACGCTGCTTTATTATAGCTATGCATATTTAAATAGTTGTCTAGAAGTTTGAGGAACAGAATTTATTACATTTCTGAACACAGTAATGCTAACTGCATTAAACCTGAGTGCCCAAATTGTTTGAAAATCCACCTGAAAGTTTGCTAAAGTTTTTACAAATATGCTTAAATTATTTTCTACAAAAAATCAATTAAATCTCAGTATAAGTTTATGACATAACTTGTGTTCATTACATTCTTTTAATATGTAATGAAAAACTATAGTATTACATGAAGCAGATATGTAACATTTCTGAGGTAAAAATAACACACACTATTCTATACTTGACCCTTCTCCCTCCCAAATCATTTGATAAATCCTTATAGAAAGAAGCAGCTACGTTCTTCTACCGCAGCCAAAAACAAACTGACCTTTTAGCAAAAAAGAAAAACAATATTTATAGTGAAGTCAGGATAAAGCATAACATGGCATTTCAACTTTGTCAGGAACTCTTGCAAGTAAATGTCAACCATACGTTCATGCCTCCATTGCTATCGCTGAATAAAATAGTTTACTTACCATCACATGACCAAAACTGACATCTGGTAGCTTAAATGAAGATAATAAAAGAATTACTGAGAAGAAAACATACTTATTGCTTTACATGCATCCAATGTTCAATGGCATTTCTTAAAATAATCTTTTATATGTGTTTGTTTATAAGACACTTCATATTCAGTATTCTATATATTTAGCATAATGTTCTGTACAGTTTAAAATTACATGAAACCCCAGCAGAATGTTCACCTAGTTTGCATCCACTCTAAATCTTTATCCATCTTATTAATTCTATTTAATTTATTATTAGCTAAGTCAACATTTGTTTTTATGTGAACTTAAATCTCATCAGTGTTGCATGCTTTCCCTCATCTTCATTCACACATCTGGAAATACACCCTACTCATAAATATACTCATAACCTTTTCATTCAGTCTTTCTATAGGATGGCAGTTTTAGTTTGATCATTAGGTAGTTCATTTTGATTGTCTCAAAAATTTGTTTTGGCATGACTATTCAACTTTACCTTTTCGATGCAATGCACTTTGGCAAATAGCTGCTAGAGGTTTGATGGGGTTTTCACTGATTAAGCTTATAGGTTTTGGGGCATTCTCTAATTCCTTATTCTTTCCATTTTTTCCTCCATTATTTCTTCATTCAATCCCTTTCTACCTCACGACCTATTTCCCGAGTTTAGTTTTCTCTTTCTCGAATTCCCTCCTTGACTTTTCCTCTGTTTGGCTTTGTATTTCTGATTTCAAATGTCCTTGCTTCCAAGACTGTGCAAACTGTTATCCAACATCTCCAACTAGTGATCTTGAACACACAAGACTTCCCACTGATCTTGAATGGACAATCCACTTCCTGACTCTTTTATTGCCCAACTCTTTTTTTTAGATTTTTCTCTTCATTCTACAGCCATGTCTCATGCTAACACCCACATTATTCTCCTAGTCAGTTATGAAGAACACCAGGAAATTGCTTATACATGAACGTTTAATTTTTAATTAATTAAATAATTAATGTAACTGTTAATTGCTTTATTTAAACTGCTTTTGTGTGTGTTTGTGTTTGCTTGTGTTAGCCTTGGAAGTATCTTTGTGTCCAGAAGTTCAGTTGTAAATAACCTCCTCTACTTTTGTACTTGCGAACATTTGAGTATAGGGCTAAAAGTAACTACTGTTTCCCAGTGGAGAGATGGAAATCCCCTTTGCAAAGTTCATAAATATTTCTAGACCTGTTAAGCCACAGGCTGGCAGATGCATTTGAATACACAATGATATGTGTGTGTGTATTTGTATAATAAGCTATGAAACCTGTTTCAGCGGGAGTGGGAGTGTGCTAATTACTAGCACAGCAATGGCATCAGGAAAGAAGCATAAGCAGGTTGGTTGCTTCATGGTGAATAGGCTGTTTCTTTTAGCAACAGACCTCACCCAACCAGTAAACAACTTCCAAGAGCTAGGTGGAGCCAAGTGTCACAAGATCACAGGCTTAATAAAACCATTCTCTGCTGTGTGCCACATACATACCAGAAACTGAAAATAATCACATCTTACCGACTTTTTCTTCTTAGTACAGTTTGGTTTTCTGCAACTTGAGTAGTAGTTGAGGGTTGCATACTCCATCAGAGCAGCAAAGACAAATAGAAAGCACACAGTCACAAACAGATCCATAGCGGTGACATAGGAGACACGGGGTAATGACTTTCTGGCAATGGTACTCAAAGTTGTCATAGTCAATACTGTGGTAATACCTGCAGAGAGAAACTGGAGTTAATTGTCTACAATATCATTTCTCCATCTTTGGAAACAAATGCACACAAATTAGAGGACCAAAGTCTACCCACATCATCACAGGAAACTCATTATTTACATCTGATAGCATAAAAAGTAAAGAAAAATGGCATCAGTAGAGCCAGAATATTTTGTAAACAAAAATTTCCGCAACAATTTCCATTTGCCTTTGCAAGACTGAAATTCCTATGCTTCTCAATATTCTTTTTGTCATCTCTTCCTTTTTTCAGTCTCAGTTAGGTTGGAGATAGGGGTGAGGGAGAAAGAGAGAATGAAGAAACTTTTAAATAAAAGGTTAAAGCAGAAAAGATATTAAACGTGGAAAAAAAAATCAAAAATTAGAAAATACAAAAGGAGACACAGTCTTTTTCACAGTGATACTGCTCGCATGAAAAATCTAGTGCTCAAAAAAAAAAAAAGGCAAAAAAGAAAAGTTAATACATTTTGCTGCAAAGTTTCTAGCACGGATTTGGACAATATGTTTGCATGCTGCTGCTTCCCTGGGAGAGCCACAACACTACTGTTCTTCTGAATGAGGGAAAATGGGTTCTCATACAAACTTCAGGCATTCCTTAATGGAAATATCCTTTTTAATTCGTAAGAAGCATCACAGCCTAGACTGATTTAGTAATAATGAATGTACTTGTAGATAAATAGTAGATTTATCTTCCCTGACAGTATATTTATCTACTCCTAGTAAGTTGGTTAATTAATCTACTAATAATGAATTACTTGCTGTGAAATATCCTGGACCAAAATAACCAGTACTAGAATGAAGTCTGTGGAGTGTCTGTTATTTGACTGCAACGGTAGTATATTTCATTTATATTAATTCCTGAGGAACAGAAGTCTTTTATTTCGCATTTTTGGATTGATGTTTTTAATCATTCTTTGTGAACTGCCAGCCTTTTGGTAGAAAAAAAAATCCAGCTCTTCAACAGCTTGGTCAGAAAAATAAAACTCACTCAAGTCTCAGGAGAGAACCTGCTGTAAAAACAACATACTTATACGGTACTTTTTCTTTTTATAATTAAACTTGTATTTTGCAAAGCTACTCAGTGTTTGAAATGACATGGGATGACTGAAATTATGCCTTATAGTAAAATTACTTCTCACAAACAGCACTCTGGAGAGCAAGAAGTATCTGTGGATTACTTTTGACTATCTTCTCCTTATAAAAGAATGCACGCTTTTGATCTGTAACATTTGATAGGAACTACAGTGATCCACAAGAATAACCCACCCCATTCAATTCCCAGAAAGTCCCTGGAAGAGGCAGTAGGCAGAGTACCGCCTAGGTCTAGACCTTCTTTTACAACAAACGACAAATAATTTTATTCCTCAAATACCCATATCACTCTCCAGAACCAAAAAGGAAAAGAAATGCTGCTGAAAAAAACATGTCCTAATAATCAAAAGACTAAAGCAATGATAGTAAGAAGTGGGAAATGCGGAGAATCTTCCCTTTCACTGGGAAATCCCTATTCAACACGCTTGACCTCAGCATTAGAGCTGCCTCACACTGGAACCCACAGCTGTGGTTGTAGCTCATGCAACCTTTAAGTTAGATAGTTTATCTAACTAAACAATCTTAGTACAAAACAGCTGCCCTGATAATAGCCAATATCCTGTTAGGTTTTGTAGCCTACTCTGAGGTTTTGTGTCTTAAGCTAACTTTCTATCCTGCTAATGCTAGTCTGCAAATGAACTACACTTAAATTTTTGAAATGCAGCATGGATGTGTTTTTAGACTTTGTATATATCTCGAACATCTAAAAGCTACCGGGGAAATATTTTTGTTTCTAATATTTCTGTTCTAATTGTGCCACATCCCAGTATAGGCAGAGATGGCCACAATGTCCCAGTACTCTGCAGGCTCCTAAGCAACAACTAACTGATGCTTTGAAAAACCTCTAGAGATAAATCCCATGCTTCACCATTCATCACAGTAGGGCATTTGCATGGATGTCCAGCTGCAAAAGGTGTTGGCTCACTTGTCTTGATTTGCCCCTTACTAACTAACTATGAGTTAATTTATCTTTCTGTATGATCGGGACCTTCAGTGCCTAGCTATTTTTCAATGATACTACAGACAAAAGAAGATACTTAGGCCTCAGGAGGGACTAACTTTAGAACAACTGCATCTTGACAGATGGAAACACAGATGGAAACATCTAAAGGTAAAACAAACAGATTTTTACTTTTATTATTTATATAAAATCTTCTGATGATATGAAATACAATATAAAAACATCATTCTTAACTTAAGTAGAGGTTTGGGTTTCAGCTCAGATAATAAACAAGGAATGAGCGTTTGAAATAATAAAAGTCCTATCCTGTGTATAAGTTTTACATCTGATACATTGATAAAGTTTTGAAATATTAGGAGTGTTATCATGAAACATACACAGAACAAAGAGAAAGAAGGTGCACTGGATAATACAGTTTTATATTCCTATACATTTATAAGTTAGAATATTCAGAAATGCATGTATGAAGAAAAGGTAAAACCTACTGTTTCCAGACAGAATATCCAGGTTTCTTAACCTTAGCTTATTTTATCTGCCATTTTAAGAAAACACAGTTTGTTGACTGGTTTAAAATGCAAGAAACCTTACCGGGTGGAATTCTAAGTCTCTCATTTGGAGGAGACTACCCCTGTGAAGAGAATTTTGTGTCTGTTTTTTAAATTTCCAGTGCTTTTGAACCGTCTATTTCAGCAGAATTTTAATATTAACTAAAGACAGTTTAAAAGTAATCTGGCTTCAAAAATTTCAGCTGCATGGGTGAAAGTGGTAGTGCATGATGCTGTATAAATACCAATTTGTGACATTTGTTTTCTCTGAGGAAGTTCCATACCAAAGAAAGATACTACTTTATAAATCAAAAAGGACTGTCCAACAGATCAAATGATCCAGGGATTCATAATGCATGAGAATGTTTTAACCTTTAGATCATTGGTTTAAACAGTTATTTAATATTATTACTGTCTGAAAGCTGCTTAGTGGACAACTGCATGCAAAGTGAAATAGCACGAGCTTCAGTGTTAGAAACTCTTTGGCCAGGGAGACTTAATTTTTTGTATATTCCTAAGAGTATTATCTCCAGATAAGGGTGTTAACATGCTGATGGGACACTGTGGGAAAAAGCGTACTGCTTTTGCCCATGCTGTCCCTTGTTTATGAATAGGCATTTCATTTCTCCACCTTTCTGGTCCAGTACCTTTTTTTGAGTGGTTGCTTTTTTTTTCTAATGAATGAACTTAAGGTGGGACAACAAGGAAAACAAGTTCACCGTAATCTCTATCTTCTTTTATATCAACACATTGTTGGGCTTGATACCCACTGTATTTATCAACTGCAGTTTAAATTTGCTATATACTAACTGTCCTGACAAACAACAGGTTAAATCTGTTTGAAAAATAGTGGGAAGCAGGTGAAAACTTTGGTTTAACTTACTTTCCTTCACCTTCAAGGAAAACACCCTATTATTTTCCAAATCATGCCATTTCTTCAGACACTTACCAGCTGCTCTTGACTACGAGCATTGGAAGAAGATCATTTTCATTATTAGAGGCAAGTAGAAACAGCAGAGATTTTTCTGTCCGAATAGAGGGCACTATAATCTGGGATCGCAAAACACAGTTCTCATCTAACGCTCTTGAATTCTATTTCCAGTTTCCGACCTGCTCTTCAGGTGGCCCGGATTAAGTCACGTTATCACTCTGGGCCTCAGCCTCTCAAACAGCAAGTGAAAAAGGGATTATGATGCCAACTTTTTAAAGAGCACTTTGATGCCTCTAGACAGTGCTGCTGAAAGGATGATTAAGGTTCTGCCTTTTCCCTCACAGCCAAAATACTCCTGATTGCTTTTTGTTTTTCCAGCACAGAAATAGCTTATTACTTAGAGTTATTCAGAAAGGAGTAAAAACCTGTCATTTGTATAACCCTGAGTACTTGCCAATAGCTTCCAAAATTTCTCATTAATTTCAGAGGGTGAAATGTTTCCCTGATGCTACTCCTTTATATGAATGCAGTTATACTCGCAGTGGGTTTGGTGCACAGAGTCTACAATTCATTTCAACTAATTAGCAGGACAATTTCTGTAGTTTGCCTTTGGCTGTATTACTCACAAGTTCACCATGTGCCACTATCCAGTGTGGGTGTGGGTGGTGGTGGTGGTATTCAGACAGATTTAGTGGTTGCTTTATACAAGCAGACCTGCAGTGAATTAGGAACATCTATCTGCTTACTACTCCCCAAGGGTCAACAGGCCATTGCTGACTTGGGAGCAATAGGGCTCTGATTGTGCACAGAAAGAAGTGACCCACATATATATTATTCTCTAGTAATTTGACTTTATTCATAAGAAGCTATATTTTCATCTAGTTATTTAATTCTTTACCAGATTTTCAGGAGTTAGTCACTGCAGCCATTGAAGCTTCTTGCAATAGCTCACTTTTATGCTCTTTCTTACTTCAAACTCATCATCTCAACATATAAATACATTGTTTCTCCTAAGTTCCAGCTGGCATTGCTGTGACTACCACTCTAACCTATTTTGTGTTTAATTAATTGGGAAACTGAGACGCGTGGTATGGGGAATTCCCCTGAGGGACAACGTATGGACACTACTTCTGGAAAATTAGTAATACAAACTATTTTATGCTTTTCCTCCCTTTTCTCTTTTCTGATGAAAACTAAGCATTATGAAGGATAATCCAAATGGATGCTGTGTTACTCTCAGCACACACACGGGGTTTCACACTCCGGGTTAAAAAAACCTCTTAGCAGAGCATGCCCAGCCTTTCCTTATCTCCACTGAACCACCCACCTTAGACAGAAAGGAGGTAAGCAGAAAAGTATACTAAAGACCTATTGTTCAGTTTTACGGCCACCACCGGCAAGTCTAAGCAGCCAGGAACAGGTGGCCACACAGCTTCTCTGCTGTGCCTTCTTTGCACTGCGGAGGAGATGACAGAACAGGTGTAAGTCTTAGTCTGTTGTGTTGCCACAGCAGCAATACAAAGGCACTTTGGCACTCACAAACTGGGAATAAGGACTGAATATTTCTTTCTCAGAAAAGAATTGCAGAAAACTGGGCCCATGTGAGGCCTTGACGCTTAATGGCCTGACCTGGAAGGGTGTTTTGAAAGTCCGATTTAGTGTACAGATATTCACTTCAAAGTTTATAAGAGCAAATGAGCAGAATTAAGGTTTTGTTACACATAAAGAGAAAAATGGGCACCAGAAGTAGTGTTACATTTGTTAATCTTGACAGACTCTGGGAGCAAAACCAGCAGTTTACGGTCTTGTGCTAACCAGATACAAAATGGGTTGTAATGTAAAATTATTTGTAAAATGTAGACCAGTATTATTTGCTTGCAGTTTGGTTAGTAAAGCTTTTCTGAGACTTTTCCTACTACCAATTCGGTTGGGTAGTTTTATGTCACTGAGCTGCTTTTGGTTGAAAAGGATGCCTCTGGTCATTCATTCAGAATAAAAACTGATGCAACCTCTGTAGGAAAATGCCTAAGTATTGCTGGCAGGAATGGCTGACATATAGTGTCATGGCTTAAACAAACCTGCGGCTAGTGAGGGAGCTACACTTAGAGGATATTTTTGGTAACATATTTCCGCTGTCATTCAGCTGAAAGTTACTCGACTATTGTTTTCATTTTGCAGAGAAATATGTTTTTAACCTGTACCCTGAATAGATGACCATACAATTGGACATTGCATGAGTAAAGGACTTAGACAATGAGGTCAGACTTTTAGAAGTCCAAGAAGAGTCTATGGGACTTACCAGCTAAAATCTCAGTGAAAATGAACAAGCTTCTAAGTGCATTAGCACTTCATTTTTCCTTTTCTCTTCAGTGCCTTCAGGGGGCTTATGCTAAAAACCACAGTACCCTCAGAATTGGTGGTGGCTCTGATTTATTAGTGCAGGAGAGGAATAGACAGAAAAAGGGCATACGATTTTGAAGTGAATAACAGCTGCATTGTTGAATAAGGTATCTTCCTCCTGAGATTAAGTGCAGCACCTTGACATGGTGTTTGAAAGAAAGCTCACAGAAATGGATTCACAAAAGAAATAACAATCATTTCTGGTAAACGCATCTTACTTATTTGGATGGAAATGGGATGAGGAATGCTGATGACCCTTGAGCAGCTGTTTAGGGGAGTGGGAGATAGAAAAGGTTTGCACAAATGGCCTCTCCTATTTTGTGGTTGAATGAAGGCCTGTTGGCACACAGCAAGACCCAAGAATACTCTGCCAGCTACAGGCTGTGTTCACACATCCGCTGAGAAAGCTACGGCCTATTCTCTGTCTTCATCCCCCGAAGCACAGCAATATCACCTTCTCAAACCTGGTGGCTCAGTTACTCTTATGAATACTCCCTTGTCTAATTTCAGTCTGGAAAAGTCAGGCACGTCAGTTTAATCTTTATTAGTTTGGTCTTCTGATTGAAAGGATTTAGAGAGTTCAGCCAGTTAACTGAAGATAGTGTCATAGTTTAGTGGGAGGGAGTGATGGGAACAGTAACCTCTACACTTGACAGCAGATATGTTAACTTCTGCTCAGCCTCACCTTCTTCCCTGGGTGGTAGGATTCTGAAGAGGCTCATATTTGCAACTCTGGCAACCACAATCTAGACTAAAATGTTGTTTTCCCTTCAGTCCTGATGTACACTTATAATCACCTATTATGTTGCTCTTGATGCTGGCAAAACCTATGGTTTTCCTATAGACATCAGAATAAATGAACAAAGTTGTTGAGTGTATCCTAAAGTATAATACCAAAATCCACACGCTGGTCCTGACATAAATCAGCTGCTAAAAAACCTTTACCAGCATAAATCTCTACAATATATGAAAAAACGGGTGATTATTTATATATCTAATATGGAGATTAACTTTAAGCGCAGAAGCCTAAAACACTTTGAAAGACTTAACGTTATCATATCCCACAGTTTTCTGTACAGATAGCACATAACATAAGAGAGAGTTTCAGAAGGGAAGGAAGCAGCAGTGCAATGCATTTATTCTTCAAATATGTCACTAAAATATTATAGTGAGAACAAGAAGAGAGACAATACTTCTAGAATGCTATGCAAAATAGGTGACAGTGTCATTCCCAAGGGTTACGGTAGTTCACTTTTAATTACTCTGTTAAAGAAAGAAAAACAAATTCTTCTGGGTCGAGTAGATTTGGGCCTGCAAGATGCAGCAATAGTCTAAAGTATCTAGTGGCCTTTTTGAAAGGAAGCTGACACTTTCAAATGTTAGTGTAGGGCCTACACGAAGAGGGCAGAAAAGGAATTATAAAAAACTTACCTAATGCTGTTCTTGCTGGTGTGGCATCTTTTTTAATCCAAAAGGATACCCAGGAAAGAACAACTGTTAATATACAGGGAATGTATGTTTGAATAGTGAAGTATCCCATTCTTCTACTTAAATCAAAGTATATAGTCATGACTACATAATCACCTGCAATAAAGCAAAGAAAATAAAAATTGATATTGTAGTGAGATACAGACAGTTATTCACTGAGCTGCTAATTTTTAACCCTCACAAACACACTATGCATGAAATATTTCTTAGTATTTTGAGAGTAGCTGTTCAGTAGTGCTCACATAAAATAGAATTTAAATGATTTTTTCCATTCTCATGGAATTCCTTTAGCTTTAGGTCACTGTGGAAATGTCGACCTATTTGGACAGCAGCAGGCAGAGGCTCCCAGGAGTCATTCTTGATGAATAAATTTTTAGCTTTCCAGACTTGTTATTTCTGCATGACTCCACAGCTACATATATGAAGCTACCATCATTCATCAGATTCTGAAACCAAGCTACACTAAATCCCTTTTCTTCAGCCGACTGTGCCTTTCTTGCTCTAATTTTAAGTCTGAGTGACTTCAGCTTTTCTCTTTTGAGAAGTGAACCAGGCAGCAGGGGTCTTTATGACGGGTGAAGCAGGTACATAAGTACCATGACAATGAGAAGTCATTTACAGACACAAGAGCCTCCATATGGGAGGAAGAAGTCAGACCGCACACTTTTAAATTTCTCACCAGTAAAAACCAAGAGTCTGTTTCTGCCAGCATGCCTCCATTTCAAAGCAGTATTGGTCAATTCTAGTATGTGCAAACCTTCAGAAAATAAGCCTGGAAATAGAGTTTATTATTCTGCTGAATACTAAAAGCCATAAAATCAAGGGCTCAGTAAGAAGGCTGGTTGATCACACATTTCATGATTTTATTCACAGCATCTCTGCTGCTCGCCCTCGTGGCTCTGCAGAGGATAATAACCTGTCCCTCTGTCTCTCGCTCTACCCAATGGACGCTAACAACCTTGTCACCTCTGTCCTTGCTAACAGCTCCCTCTGCTTCACAGGTGTTAACTATCCTCCTCCCTCAAATAGTTACACTGATTAATGATAATGAAATTGAGCGGAGAGCAATTTCTGTACTTATCTTGAAGTTTGTTGCTTTCATTTCAGATGTGAGGAAGAGCTTATATGCCTGAAAACTTTTCTGTTTTTCTGTCTGACTACGTTATTTGATCATTAGACTACATTGCTTTTCATTACAAACCATGCCGTTCTAGAACAGGATATTTGCACCACAGATTGTTTGCAATAGGTAGGCAAATCTGTCCTGTTACAGCAAACTGCCAAAGACTGAAGAAATTAGGAGCACAGACAGATTAATCCACAAAGGTATTTACATATGACTCTCTCAATTAAGAACATAACGGATTCATTAGGAGCTGAAAAAATGCAGTTAATCTAATAACAGAAAGCATGAGAACAAAACCATTGAATACAGTGGATATATTGACTATACCTCAAGAATTCATAGAAAAGAAATTAATTCAGTAAAAATAACTTTCACTGTCTGAAGACCACTATAAAATGAGTGAATTAATATAAGCTCGGAAGTCAAAAAATTACTAAAAATCCAAAGGTGGCATTTGGGAAGAGAAATTTAGAACAATGAGTAAAAAGCAAAACTTTCTATGTGTAAATACATCACTCTGAGATAGATAGATATGAAAGAGGTGGAGATGCCTGTGGGCATCATGCTTCTGTTAGATGAACACACAGATATTCATGAGTGTTGTGCCAGTGAAGAGCATGTGTCTGGGGAAATTTGACAGTGCCTCCAGAAGCACTGTGTATCTGGCATAATGGTACAGAGCTTTAATGAAAGAGCTCACTGCTGAGGCAGGTATGAAGCATTGCTACATGCACTGTCACTACGTACTGAGCCTTGTGGGAGGTTCACAGGTGGTGGGTTATTTTCATTCCACCAATCCTCAGCACTTTTTTTTCTCTGTGCAGGGAATGGGAGCTGGAACTCATGTAATAAACATTAGTTCTTCTGGTTTACTTTTAAACTACATCAGTTCCCTAATCTGGTTCACTGCATGGGCTAAAGAAATACTTATACCACTGCAACTGAGGTCATTTGTGCAGAAACAAGAGTAAGGAGCCAGGGGCCGTGTAAGCCAGTGCTTCTACTGGTGGGAATGAACCCAACAACGATGGAAAAGAGCTATGATGCTGCAAAGGCTGTCTGTCAAAACAGAAGAATGAGCAAAAAAAGGAAGTCAAAGATTCTATAGGAAATGGTCACTGCTCCTTTGAATTGTATTACCCTGAAACCTAGCAAAACAAATGAGAATGGGGCTAGACACTGGACACAGCAAGGTAAAGTCCCTGCTTGGAAGGTCTTTGACTGATATAACCCGATAAACTGAGAGCTGGAGAAAGTTATGAAGCATACCAATCTGATAGCCTTCTACGATAGGACAACTGGCTGGACAGATAAGGGGAGAGCAGTGGATCTTTTCTACCTGGAATTCAGCAAGGCTTTTGACATTGTCTCCTTTAATATCCTCATAGGCAAGCTCAGGAAGTGTACGCTGGATGAGTGGATGGTGAGGTGGATTGAGAACTGGCTGGAGAGCAGAGTTCAGAGGGTTGTGATCAGTGGCACAGAGCCTGGTTGGAGGCCTGTAGCTAGCGGTGTGCCCCAGGGGTCAATACTGGGCCCAATCTTGCTTAACTTCTTCATCAATGACCTGGAGGAAGGGACAGAGCGCACTCTCAGCAAGTTTGCTGGTGATACAAAACTAAGAACAGTGGCTCTGATACACCAGAGGGCTGTGCTGCCCTTCAGAGGGACCTCGACAGGCTGGAGAAATGGGCAGAGAGGAACCTCATGAAGTTCAACAAAGGCAAGTGCAGGGTCCTGCACCTAGGCAGGAATAACCCCATGCAGCAGGACAGGCTGGGGGTTGACCTGCTGGAAAGCAGCTCTGCAGAGAAGGACCTGGGAGTGCTGGGGGACAACAAGTTGAGCATGAGCCAGGCAGTGTGCCCTGGTGGCCAAGAAGGCCAATGGCATCCTGGGCTGCATTAGGCAGGGTGTTGCCAGCAGGTGGAGGGAGGTGATCCTGCCCCTCGCCTCAGCCCTGGGGAGGCCTCTCCTGGAGTACTGTGTCCAGTGCTGGGCCCCTCCAGTACAAGAGAGACATGGCACTACTGGAGAGAGTCCACTAAGAGAGGGCTACAAAGAGGATGAGGGGACTGGAGCATCTCCCCTGTGAGGAAAGGCTGAGGGTGCTGGGCCTGTTCAGCCTGCAGAAGAGAAGGCTGAGAGGCGATCTCATCAATGTGTGTAAGTATCTGAAGGGAGGGTGCCCAGAGGATGGGGCCTGACTTTTCTCCATGGTGCCTAGCGATAGGATGAGAGGCAACAGGCACCAGCTGAAACACAGGAAGTTCCACTTGAACATGAGGAAAAACTTCTTTCCTGTGAGGCTGACTGAGCACACTGAAGCCGGTTGCCCCGAGAGGTTGTGGAGTCTCCTTCCTTGGTGATACTCAAGAGCCATCGGAACACAACCCTGGGCAGTGTGCTCTAGGTGACCCTGCTTGATCAGGGTGTTTTGTTGTTAAACTTTATGCTCTGATCTTGGAGGACCTACGCAACTTCTCTGCTTACTCCTCTGTTCTCCTCTGCTTTTCTTTTCCTTTCTTCCTTCCCCTGCTCTTAAGCCTTCTTTATTACAAGAGAACTTTTCATTTTCTCTTCATCCCAATTAAAAACTTGCCAAGATATTCCTTGTTTTCAGAACATCTTTCCAGCTAGATAAATTCAGGAACCGTGACTTGGCTGAATTTTATAAAGAGCTGCAAATTCCCAAGTATCCAACAAAGACTCATAGAAGTCTAACAGATACTCAGAGAAGATGAAATCCTAGCAGAATGATAGTCTACATTCATTTATCCACTTACATATTTTTATTATCTGGAATACAGACCAAAATTTGGAAGGGAGAGCCAGTCACAGGGGCAGGAGCTGTGCATAGGAACTTATATATTGTACCCTCTATGCTGTGTTCTAAGTTAGAGGAACACACTGATGGATTATATTCCAATAGATTGAGAAAACAATTAGGTTCAATAGAATTACTGGTGCAAAACAGACATAAGAGGAGAAGTAGCTGACTGTCCCACAGTATTGTAATGGTGATTAGGGAGAAGGAACTCAGAAACTATGAATGCCTCTTAAGCCTTCTTTATTACAAGAGAAGTCACCTCTGCTGAAATACAAAATCCAAACTGGAAGCAAAAATATTGAGACTGCTGTAAAAGGCAAGCATTTTTCTGTACACGTACTGGCTATGTTGTTTTACTAGTTACAGTAAATTACGACATGCAACTAAATGACACTTCAGCTCTTTCAGCCTCAAAAAAGTTAACTTCTGTTGAGACTCTTGAATTGTCTCTTTGCATAAAGAAGGTCAGGCATGCATGTACCATGGCCACTTCCCTTTGATGCAGAGCTCCAAACCACATTATTATTATTATTACTGAAGTCTACATTATTCCTACCAGATTATTCTCTATGTATCTAAAAGCACTTGCCTGCAGTCTGAAAGAGTGCATCAAGGGAACTAGCCATGGTACATACATTTCTGACTTCGTCTACACACACTAAACAATTTGACAGATGCTTAATGTTCACGGACAACTAATATGCAAACCATCAAATCTCTCCGCTCTTCTAAGACGCCTGACATACATTTCATCCTGTATGTCCTGCAGGCATGAGAACCCAAAGGAGAGAAAGAGCTTTTATGCACTCTGCACTGTGCCTCGTTCCTTCGTTAGCCTTCTGAGCTCCACCTGCCATTACTGCGACCGCTAGAAGAGGAGTTAGTGCCAATTACGCAACAAAGCCCTGCAGTGCAGACAAGACAGGAAAACCTTGTTCCAAATTGCAAAACATTAAATCGGTGTACCTGGTTTAAAAACAATCTCCCGATGATTGCCCTGCCAGGACCACTGGAATAACTAATATCAAAAGACTTCACTTTGAAATTCAGAGAGGAATTCTACTTTTTAACAGCTTAAATAATTTCCCAAGAAGGCTAACTCACTTTTAACTGAACTATCAGACCAATTCATGAAATAAT